TAGGTAGTGGTAGTTGGAGATATGGATGTGTTATCATTATCATAGGTAGTGTTTTTAGGTAAAGGTAGTGTTATCGTTGAGAGTGGTAGTTGGAGATATGGGAGAAATTATCATCATCATAGGCAGTGGTAGTTGGAGGTATGGGGTGTTGTGATTATCACAGGCAGCGGTAGTTGGATATATGGAAGTGTTATCATTATCATAGTGGTAGGTGGAGATATGGAAGTGTTATCATTATCATAGGTAGTGGTAGTTGGGGTATGGTAGATTTATCATTATCATAGTGGTAGGTTGAGATATGGAAGTGTTATCATTATCATAGGTGAAGTGGTAGTTGGAGTATGGCAGTGTTATGATTATCACATGCAGCGGTAGTTGGAATATGGAAGTGTTATCATTATCATAGGTAGTGGTAGTTGGAGGTATAGGAGGGTTATCATTATCACAGGCAGCAGTAGTTGGAGATATTGAAGTGTTATCGTTATCATAGGTAGTGGTAGCTGGAGGTATGGTAGTGTTATGATTATCACATGCATGCGGTAGTTGGAGATATGGAAGGTGTTATCACTATCATTGGTAGTGGTTTTGGAGATATGGTAGTGTTATCATTATCATTGCTAGTGGTAGTTGGAATATGGGAGAGTTATCATTATCATTGCTAGTGGTAGTTGGAATATGGGAGGAGTTATCATCATCATAGACAGTGGTAGTTGGAGATATGGATGTGTTATCATTATCATAGGTAGTGATAGTTTGAGGTAAGGAAGTGTTATCGTTATCGTTGAGAGTGAGTAGTTGGAGATATGGGAGAGTTATCATCATCATGGGTAGTGGTAGTTGGAGGTATGGGAGTGTTGTGATTATCACATTGCAGCAGTAGTTGGAATATGGAAGTATTATCATTATCATAGGTAGTGGTAGTTGGAGGTATAGGAGGGTTATCATTATCTGCAGGCAGCGGTAGTTTGGAGATATTGAAGTATTATCGTTATCATAGGTAGTGGTAGTAGCTGGAAGTATGGTAGTGTTATGATTATCACATGCAGCGGTAGTTGGAAGATATGGGAAGTGTTATCACTATCATTGGTAGTGGTTTTGGAGGTATGGGAGTGTTATCATTATCATTGGTATTATTGGTAGTTTGAGGTATGGAAGTGTTATCCATTGTCATAGGTAATAGTGGTAGTTGGAGATATGGATGTGTGTTATCATTATCATAGGTAGTGGTAGTTTGAGGTATGGTAGTGTTATCATTATCATGCACTAGTGGTAGTTGGAGATATGGGAGAGTTATAATTATCATTGCTAGTGGTAGTTAAGGAATATGGGAGAGTTATCATCATCATAGACAGTGGTAGTTGGAGATATGGATGTGTTATCATTATCATAGGTAGTGATAGTTTGAGGTAAGGAAGTGTTATCGTTATCGTTAAGAGTGGTAGTTGGAGATATGGGAGAGTTATCATCTCATCATAGGTAGCGAAGTGGTAGTTAGGAGGTATGGGAGTGATTGTCATTATCACATGCAGCGGTAGTTGGAGATATGGAAAGTAATTATCATTATCATAGGTAGTGATTAGTTGGAGATATGGAAGTGTTATCATTAACATAGGTATGGTGGTTGGAGTATGGTTATGATTGGAGCGGTATGGATTGGATAGTTTATCATTATCATAGGTAGTGGTAGTTGAGATATGGTGTGTGAGTAGTATCATAGGCATGGTAGTTTAGAGGTATGGAAGTCTGGGATTATCACTAGCAGTAGTTGGTGAGAAGTTATCATGATCATAGGTAGTAGTAGTTGGAGATATGGGAGTATTTATCGATTATGACAGGTAATTGGTAGTTGGAATTATGGGATAGTTATCAATACCATAGAGTAGTAGTAGTTGGAAGGAGTTGTTGGTAAAGGGAATGTTATCATTATCATACAGAGTAAGTGGTTGGAGGTATGGGAGTGTTATCGTTGTAATAGGTAGTAGTAGTGGAGTTGTTGGTATGGGGGTGTTATTATTATTAGCACAAGGAGTGATGGTTGGAGATATGGGAGTGTTATTATTAGCACAAGTAATTGGTGGTTTGAGGTATTGGAGTGATTATTATGATCTAGCACAAGGGTGGTAGTTGGAGATATGGGAGAGTTATCAATACCATAGGTAGTGGTAGTTGGAGATATAGAAAGTGTTATCCTTATCATAGGGATCGGTAGTTGGAAGGTATGGGAGTGTTATGATTATGACAGGCAGCAGTAGTTGGGGATGGCAGTGTTATCATTATCATAGGTAGTGGTAGCTGGAACCTATGGGAGAGTTATCACATCATAGGTAGTGGTAGTTGGAGATATGGATAGTGTTATCATTATCATAGGTAGTGTAGTTTTAGGTATGTAGTGTTATCGTAATCATGAGTGGTAGTTGGAGGTATGGGAAATTATCATCATCACAGGCGGTAGTAGTTGGAGATATGGGAGTGTTATGATTATCACAGGCAGTGGTAGTTGGATATATGGAAGTGTTATCATTATCATTGGTAGTGGTAGTTGGAGATATGGAAAGTGTTATCATTATCATAGGTAGTGGTAGGTTGGAGGTATGGTAGGTTATCATTGTATCATAGTGGTAGGTTGGAGATATGGAAGTGTTATCATTATCATAGTGTAGTGGTAGTTGGAGGTATGGCCAGTGTTATCAATTATCATGCATCTGGCGGTAGTTGGAGATATGGAAGTGTTATCATTATCATAGGTAGTGGTAGTTGAGGTATATGGAGGTGTTATCATTATCACAGGCAGCGGTAGTTGGAGATATTGAAGTGTTAGGTATCAGAAAAGCCATCATCATAGGTAGTGGTAGCTGGAGGTATGAGTAGTGCAAGCATGATTATCACAGGCAGCGGTAGTTGGAGATATGGAAGTGTTATCATCAACGGTATCAGGCATGGAGGTAGTGGTAGTTGGAGATATGGGAGTGTTATCATTATCATTGCTAGCGGTAGTTGGAGCGGATATGGGAGTGTTATCATTATCATTGGTAGTGGTAGTTGGAGATATGGGAGAGTTATCATTATCATAGGTAGTGGTAAGTTGGAGATATGGAGTGTTATCATTATCATAGGTAGTGATAGTTTGAGGTAAGGAAGTGTTATCGTTATCGTTGGCAGCGGTAGTTGATTGGAGATATGGGAGAGTTATCATCATCATAGGTAGTGGTAGTTGGAGGTATGGGAGTGTTGTGATTATCACAGGCAGCGGTAGTTGGAGATATGGAAGTGTTATCATTATCATAGGTAGTGGTAGTTGGAGATATGGAAATGTTATCATTATCATAGGTAGTGGTAGTTGGAGGTATGGGAGTGTTATCATTATCACAGGCAGCGGTAGTTGGAGATATATGGTAGTTTATCATTATCAGCAGGTAGTGGTAGCTGGAGATATGGAAGTGTTATTATTATCATAGGTAGTGGTAGTTTTAGGTATGGAAGTCTTATATTATCACAGAGTGAGTGGTAGTTGGAGATATGGGAGAGTTATCATGATCATAGGTGAGTGGTAGTTGGAGATATGGGAGTGTTATCATTATCACAGGTAGTGGTAGTTGGAGATATGGGATAGTTATCAATACGCCATAGGTAGTGGTAGTTGAGGTTGTTGGTAGGGAATGTTATCATTATCACAAGGAGTGGTGGTTGGAGGTATGGGAGTGTTATCGTTGTAATAGGTAGTGGTGAAGTAGTGAGTTGTTGGTATGGGGGTGTTATTATTAGCACAAGGAGTGATGGTTGGAGATATAGGAGTGTTATTATTAGCACAAGGGTGGTGGTTTGAAGGTATGGGAGTGTTATTATTAGCACAAGGGAGTGGTAGTTGGAGATATGGGAGAGTTATCAATACCATAGGTAGTGGTAGTTGGAGATATGAAAGTGTTATCCTTATCAGGGATCGGTAGTTGGAGGTATGGGAAGTGTTATGATTATGACAGGCAGTGGTAGTTGGAGATATGGAAGTGTTATCATTATCATAGGTAGTGGTAGGTGGAGATATGAGAAGTTATCATCATCATAGGTAGTGGTAGTTGGAGATATGGATGTGTTATCATTATCATAGGTAGTGTTTTTAGGTAAAGGTAGTGTTATCGTTGAAAGTGGTAGTTGGAGATATGGGAGAATTATCATCATCATAGGCAGTGGTAGTTGGAGGTATGGGGAGTGTTGTGATTATCACAGGCAGCAGTAGTTGGATATATGGAAGTGTTATCATTATCATAGTGGTGGGTGGAGATATGGAAGTGTTATCATTATCATAGGTAGTGGTAGTTGGAGGTATGGTAGATTTATCATTAATGGTAGTGGTAGGTTGGAGATATGGAAGTGTTATCATTATCATAGGTAGTGATAGTTGGAGGTATGGCAGTGTTATGATTATCACAGGCAGTGGTAGTTGGAGATATGGGAGAGTTATCATTATCACAAGGTAGTGGTAGTTGGAGATATGGGAGAGTTATCATATACCATAGGTAGTGGGTAGGGGAGGTTGTTGGTATGGGGGTTGTTATTATTAGCACAAGGAGTGGTGGTTGGAGGTATGGGAGTGTTATTATTATCACAAGGAGTGGTGGTTGGAGGTATGGGAGTGTTATTATTATCACAAGGAGTGGTGGTTGGAGGTATGGGAGTGTTATTATTATCACAAGGAGTGGTGGTTGGAGGTATGGGGGTGTTATTATTATCACAAGGAGTGGAGGTTGTTGGTATGGGGTGTTATCATTATCACAAGGAGTGGTGGCTGGAGGTATGGTAGTGTCGTTATTGTCATTTGGGGACTGACCTGTTTGATGAACTTTTGCAACCCTGATGAATTAACGTATTTGGCTTGTGTCTCTGGTACTGGAAAGTACCATGTGAGTATCGTGCTCTCTCCCTAAGTATGAAACTTAACGTACAAAATGGAATAACAATGCAATATAATTTACGATTTAAAGATAATATATTTAATGTTTTAGCAGATAAAGAACATGAGACCTGTGCTGTTTTTTCTGGTGCTGGTGGGCGTGCTGACACCTGCCTCGATCGGAGTGCCCCTCGTCAATGACGCTGACGACAGGCAAGGACGTACGTACTTACGCCTTTTTCACAATACATGTATTGCACTCACTCACCCACTCAAAACTCACTCACCTCAAGCTCTCCCACCAGCCCACTCACTAACTCACTCAAAATCACACACCAACTCACTCACGTACTCACTCACCCTCCCTTACTCACTCATCCAATCCCTCCCTCCCTCCCTCCCTCCCTCACCGACCCACCCACTGACTCACTCACTCACTTTTGTCAAGTCACCATGGGCAGCAATGCTGGCTTCAATGCTGCGGGGCATACTACTGATCAAAGAAGTTAAAAAGTCGTGGTCCATGCTGTCCCAATATCGGACCACCTCTTCTTTCATTTCAGCAATATTTGTCAGATTTTTCTTATTGACACTTTCCTTCATAAGTCCCCAAACATTTTCTATTGGATTTAGGTCAAGGCTATAGCTTGGCCAATCTAATAATGTCATATTTTGGGTCCGAAACCAGGCCTGTGAATGCTTTGAACAATGTTTTGGGTCGTTGTCCTGCTGGAAAATCAAAACATTTCCATAGAACACGTGAGCAGATGGAAGTAAATGTCCCTCGAGAATATCTGTGTACCACTCACTGTTCATATTCCCTTCAAATACACAGAGGGGCGTTGCCCCTAACACAGATATGCCGCCCCACATGTTAAATTTCGGACAGTACTTTTGGCGCTGATACAAAGGTTTTTCAGTTTGTTTGGTCCAGAATTTCAGTGTATTAGGAAACAGCCACACAGAACTTTCATCTGAGAAAATCACATTGTCCCAGTTAAAATTTCTATGCTGTAAGCACCAGTTCAACCTTCGCTCTTTTTGTTCAGGTTTCATGATCGGTGATGGAATTCCTCGACTTTTCTGCCAACCCATTGCATGCAGCTCATTTCTAATTGTCTCTTTACAGACAGCCACAGTTCCTCTATCAATCATAGCCAGCCTTACGTTTTCTAAACTCCTTCGTTTGTTTTTTAGAAACAAGAATACCAAGCCGCCTCCTGTCACCGACAGTCAATTTTCTGGGCCTACCCGCGCCTCCCTGGTGCTCAGTGCCTTATGCATTTGCAATGTTTTTCAAAAACACGATAAACAGTGGACAAAGGGATGTCTGTTCTACTTGAAATCACTTTAGCTGATCTGATGTCCTTGTTATAATACTCTAAAATCAACTTCCTATTCTCTAAATCATCCATACTGAGGATCACTGAAAATGTCGTCTGCTAGCAAGTGAATAAAGGGGGATAACTCTTCACAAACTAATGAAAAAGGATTAACGGAGTTGTCTCTCTTGATTGAAACCAAGCACTTGACAGCTGGTCAAGGTTGTTTATACTACAAATCCAATTAAACATATTCCTAAAATTCTCAATATTTTCTGGTCATACTATATCATATTTGTGTTTTCAGACGCAGAGCACTCCAGACAGAAACGTGCTGTTTTAAGTGCTATTAAGGAAGTTGACTGCGGCGCCTACACGGCTGTTAAGGAATGTACCACAGATCTCGATTCCTGTGGTGGTTTTGTGACTTTGTGGATATTGTCTGCAGTGCCATCTCACATTCAAGTACCGCTATGTCGCTGTTGTGTGACACAAATGTGGACAAATATGAAAGTACCGTTATGGATGATTATGGATACAGCAGTCACGGTACTCCGAGAGATGCTGAAAGATTTATCATGAAACTTGGAGAGGACATTGAAAACCTGCCCAAATCATGCTGGGAGAAATTTGCCAATTTCTTCAAAAATCTCTGGAGAAGTTTTCTGGATAGTTTTCATGATTAACACCCGATTTTGATGTAACCTTGAATTTTGTTAGTTTGCATCCCGATATTATGGAATACTGTAAGGGACATTCTCGCGATCTCGCATTCTCGCGATCTCGACCTTTGGAAACAAGCTAAAAATGCCAAAAGTGCGAGAATGCGAGATCGCGAGAACGCGAGATTTGGCCAAAATCTCGCGTTCTCGCGATCTTACATTCTCGTGTTTTGGGTACATAGCACTTTTTGTCAAAAGTCGAGATCGCGAGAATGCGACATTTGTACATGCTGTCAAATCTCGGATTCTCGCTATCTCGACTTGTCAAATATGGCCAGAAAAACATGAAATCGCGAGAACGCGAGAATGTGACATTGCATTTTCTCGCGGTCTCGCGATCTAGCGATCTCGCGTTTTATACGCTGTCATTGCACATGCGTAATATCATAAGGTCAAGGCGCATGCGTATCTAAGTAGTGCTGTGGTCATGCTTCTTTCATGCTTTTCACTTCCCAAGTAGCATTTAGCAAAATTATGACATAGCTTGAAAATGCTGTGTAATTTACATACACGATGTGTAGGGGAGAGTATATAAGTCCGTTCCCGTTGTTACAATTTCCTATGTACTTAAAAATCCTCAACATGTCAAATTGTATTTAAGAAACGAAATTATGAAGATGAATGTCCAATAAAAGTGAAAACATGAAAGTGTCCGGAAGCTGGAAAATATATTAATGTCAGTGAGTGATAAAATAGTGCTTAAAGCCGCATCATTTCGCAGCTACACCGTCAGTTATAGAAATAATCAGCGAGCAGTGGGTTTCTCCATGATGCGATATCATATACGGCTAGCATATTCATTCAAACAAAATTCTAACAGGCCAATTTGTAGCAGTCGAATAAAATGAACATGTCTGATGATATTTTCTTACTCGACATTATAGTCGCTAGTTTAGGCCATAAAATATGAATTAATAGATTTTCTTCCGCTCCCGCCTCACTACAAAACACCCTGTCTTACATGATTCTTTCGTCTCCAAGTTCCAAGAAATATAAATGCATTGATACCAATAATATTTGTGTTCCTCTGGCAGACATGATATAGTGGAGTTTCAATGTGTTATTAACCACAGACTACGGGTTATGAGTGAGATATCTGTTTATTTCCATATCGTGGTGGAAGAAGACACCAGTAGTATAGGGAATGGGGGTTTTGGACCAAGTCCAACAAAAGCCTCTGCAAAGCCTTATTTCCCAAATAAGGCTTTTGTTCAGGCCCTTAGATCTCGCCCCATTACCCCTACTGCTTTCCCGATTTTATAAAAAGTTTGAGGCACCAGCGGGATACGAATGCCCAATGTTATACCTCACAGCCGCACCACTCAACTACCGGGGACATGGCTGAAGTGTGTCGGTTTAACGGGTCTATCCTGGGATTGCATTATCGCTCCACATGCGGCTATGTCACGTTTACCTCGATGAAACAGTTTAATGTGAATCGCCTATGATCTCTTTGGTATTTGTAATAAAGGCTTGCTGGGCTTTTTTCACCTCTTGTTCTATGTACTTTTTTTCTCGTCCTCACTGATAGCAGACTTACGAGACTTGGATCGAATCTCTTGTTTCATTTTGTTATATTTTGTGAGTTCAGATAGAATTGAACGAAATTCCTCCTCTGAGATCTTGTTGTCAGTGAGTGCCGTGGAAATACGCTCACTTACTGTGTTCAGCTTTGCTTCAGCTAGAACCCTGATCTCATCGTGTTTCAATGCCTTACGATGCAGTCTGCGTGATGCAAACTTAAGCGCCAACCCTAACACCCCTACCACCCCAGCTGTTATTTCAATGCCTAGCACTACGGGGGTAGCCACGATGGTAGCTAACAACCCAACACCTGCCGCCCCCAGCCCCATGCTGGTTGTCATAAGGGCAGTATCAGTCCCGTCCACGATATTGAAAGCTCTATGGTACTTTTACATAGTGGTTTACGCATGTCGCGGTCTTGTTCTAGTTGGCGTTTTACATCACATAACTGTCTCCAAACGGAACCCGTCTACAGTTTCCAGGGTCTTCGCTACTTCCTCTACGACTGGGTACAGACCCATTCTGTGTGCCTATAATATATCTGATAAAATATTTTTAATTAGGTATCAGTTAATAGCTGATCAACGTACTTGAGGTTTATAAGGCCAACGTTCTCGGGTAGGTAAATAGTGGAAAGATCAATAGGTAACCTTTTGGTAACTTACCCCAAATACACCGGAGCTTGCTAAGAACCCTCACCGGCCTCGAGTCCTGTCGGGAGCTTATTAAGAGGGGCAGCAACCCCTCACGGGCCCTGAGTCCCGTCGTATAACGATACTACAACGGTGGTCTTTATAGTAAATAACAGATAGTCTTATTTTCAACCCAGATAAAGGTCCCATGTGGGCCCATGGGCGTTTTTAAAAAGAGTATTATGATTAATGTGGAGCCTGGAGGCATAAACCTAGGAAATGGTAGGTCAGAGTATATCTTAAATGATAACTGTGTATTCCCGGTTGCATCTAACATGTAACCAGGGTGATTTGGGATTTGGGAAATTCTAATATTTTTAAAACCGTCGGATTGAAATCCCCCGAGCAAGATTCCGCTGTTCTTAATTTCAGTGATATCCCTAGTGATAGGTCCACCACTACGAAAAGAGACGTAAGGTGTGGTGAGGGTTATGCCGAGCAACCATTTGGGTTCTAAAAAGTGGTCGTGCAGGCGCCAATCAGCTATTTCCACCCGCCTATACACGTTGTCTTTCAAGCGTAGGACGTACGAGGTGTCTTCCTCGCCAGGCTGATCGAACCCCTCTGTGTCTCCTAGACCCCCGAGTGTAATTTTGGGTAGATGATCGGCCATTGTCGCCCGCCTATACACGTTGTCTTTCAAGTGTAGGACGTATGAGCCTTCCTCACCAGGCTGATCGAACCCCTCCGTGTCCCCTAGATCGTTAAGCGTAGTGTTGGGGTGATGACTGGTCATTGCTATAATACTATTACGATATAGTTTCCAACTGGTTTTCTGATAATAGTTCAGGGGTTAATTTCACCCCCATGAAGTGTATGTTGTCGGGTAGGAAGATCTTGGTTAGTGATATCGTGTTTTCCACGATCACGGTGACACCCTGCAGATTGGTTTTGGAGTCGACACCCACCCGCACGTAAACTGTGCAAACGTGATACTGGTGTCGTTTCGCCCACCCGAGTTTGATCCCCTTCACGATCTCGACATCACCCCGTGATGGTTCCCCTAGGTAGACTTTGATGATCAGTGTTGAGTTCACCGGTAGACTCTCCAGGATGGTGACCACGCCTTCGAATTCAGACACCAACTGCAATGTCACGTTTTGCATTCCCGGTTTACTCGATAGCATGTGGGCTGCCATACTGGCGACTGGGCTGATGATTACGCTACGCCTCTGAGCCGGGACGTAAGCCACGAGCAGGGTTCCATTGTTCACGACTTTGTTTAGGTAGTTGTCTTTGTTCTCCGTGAACACGTAGGGGGAGCCGAGCCTAATATTGAGAAACCAGTCATCTTTATCGGGTAACAACACCCACTTGTCATCTTCGGTGAAGACGAGCGTATATGGCTTGTTTCGGGCGACGGTAGTGCTCTCAACATCATCTAAGTCGAACAGTTTGCCCCCGAACGATGGGTATATTATCCATTTATCATCCCCGGTGGTGACTAGGGTGTACCGAGTGTTGACTGTCGCTCTTGTGGTATCTACTATATCACCTAGGGCTCCACCGGAGGGGAATTCAACGCGTTTGTAAATGTTGTTTTTCAGTTGCAAGGCGTACAATTTACCATCTACTCCAGGGGCGTCGAAACCACGTGTGTCCCCGAGGTCGGAGATCCCCACATTGATGCATTTTTTCAACCCGGGCCCTTGTGCGCTGGTCATTTTATGTGCAGCGTTATGCTGAGGTATCCTATATTCACGGCATTATGATTTATATCTAACACCGATATTATCAGCTCAGGTATGTTGCCCTGAGTCAACCTCTTATACTGCCGTGGTGAAAACGACTCGGTTCTACCGTCGTTGTATTTCTCCATTTTAACCGGCACTGCTCTCAGTATAGTGGAAGGGTGACCCCCTTGAATGTTGTATGTTGTGCTCACTTGGCTGAGATGAATATACAGCTCTCGTTACGGTACTAGGTCGGGTAACTTCATTCCTGTGACGGTTGTTGCTGGTTTTATCTCGTCAGGCGACATACCGAGTGTCCTCGCCAATGGCCGGCCGAGCCTCAAGGAGTTTCTTCCGTTGTTGATTAACACCACTGTGCCGTTTGAGTCATTCATCTTGAGTTCGGCTCCCAGGGGCTTGAAGACCTCGTCGCTTAGCGAGCACACGCTGTAGTAGCCGTCAGTTATCTGACTGCGACCTCCACTGACGAACAGCTTATTATTGCTGACGTTGATGTTAGTCCATTGCGGTAGGTAGGTGATATCGCAGAGTGCGACTTCGAGTTGACCCAACGTATTATCGATCGCGTGCGTCAGCTGAACGGCCTCACCGCTCGTTATTCCTGGAAGTGTTATGTACATGTTAGAGTATATATGCTCATTATATAATAGTTTTAAAATGTACTCCCAAGGAGTGTCTTACTCCCCTGGAGTGTTTTACCCTAAACTGGATGTAGATTTCTCACCCATGAAGATCGTGGTCGCTGATGGGATGCATTTCGACTCCCAGATTTTAGATGTGTTCAGCCTGTATAAGCTTTCGGTGACTAACTTCAAGGCAGTCCACGCTTGGTTCAACAACCCGATGCAGTTCTGGCAGAATCAACTCAACTTCGCCGTGTGGTGCGCTACAACGGGGTGTGGTGTGACATTGACTGACACTCGGCGTGGACCGCTAAGTCAGTCTGTATTCAAGTTCCACGTGTACTACCAGGTCAGGCGTATCCTCAAAGAGATCAGCGCCCCGCTCCCACAGGACAAGGCGTGGAACGCAGTAAACAACCAGTACGATAGACGGGCCTACGAACGTATTTGCAACGAATTCGAACTAAACCCGAAGACGGATTGGCGTTTGCCGGGGCCGAACCATGGATTGGGTATTCCATATGATGGGGGGCGACCCGTGAAAGAAGTCAGTGATGATTTACTGAAACGAGATGTACT